ATATATATATATATATATATATATATATATATATATATATATATATATATATATATACGCCTGTATATCAATATTAGTCTGATGGAATAATGTAAACTCTTAATACAATACTGTATAAAGAGCATTTTACTAAATTGGAAAAACGTGACACATGTGGCCATTATAATAAACGGAAATGATTTTATAACAGATTAGTTTTCGTCCGAGGGATGCATGAAGATTCACAGTTAAGGAAAAATGACTCAAATTAATTTGCCAATAGTTGTAAAAGTTATGTTTTATACTCATATTTTATGATCTTAGAGCATTTATGATTGGGGCCTACATGACACCTCATCACAAAACTTTTTCAGATACTTTTTTTGTCAAATTCTGTTTACCGTTGTGCATAAATTATTGTAAACGTGATATGCTGCTGTTTACATAGTTCAATTGGTGGATTGATGAATGTGCAGGTATAAATATGCCTGGATGGCCTTTCACACTGACTGACTGACTTGTTTGTTGACTAATTGATTGACTGTTAATTGATTGACTGTTAATTGATTGATTGATTGATTGACTGACTGACACTGACTGATCTTACTAATTGATGATTGTTTGTTGACTAATTGATTGATTGATTGGTTTTATGATTGATTAATTGATTGATCGACTGACTGACAATCCTACTGATTGATTGTTAGCTAATTGATTGATTAATTAGTGATTGATTGATTGATTGATTGATTTATTGACTGACTGACTTACTGACTATCTGACTGATTGATTGACTGATTGATCTATTTATTGATTCACTGAGTGACGTATTGACTGATTGGCTAACTGATTGATTTATTGATCGATTGATTGATTGATTGATTGCCGTATTGATTGAGTGATTTAATGTTATTTTTTATCCTTATACAACAGCTTTGAATGCAGAGAATGTGAGTGTTAAAAAGCAAGTATTTGAGCTGCTTTCAGCACTGTGCTTATACTCTCAAGAAGGTTATGTAAGGGCAATCGACGCTTTAGAGAACTACAAGGTAGGCTGTCACAGTTCTATGGCGAGCCGAGTTGCCATTTAATCATAAATAGAGATATCTTAGTTTTAAATAGATATATCTTAGTTTTATAACAATAACACGGTCACGGATGCGTTGCGATTGGCTATTACGGAGCAGGTAGCCTAGCTAATCTATGAGTGCGGCCGCTCGTACACGCCAGTGTGTGATGAGAAACGTACAAAAAGAGTGCCTCCCGTTGGATTTGGTGGTTGAGCATTCACAGGCCTACGCCGTTTAAGGTCTTACAAATAGATTACAAAATAATCAGCAATTTTCGTGATTTTGGAAAGAAAAACATGCGTTCCTGATGTCAAGTGACAAGTGCGTGTCGCCTCTCAAACCCTGGGAGGGGAACACATAACCACTCGAATAGGAGACGAGCCTTCGCTGCTGAAACATTTCCCTCCACAAATTTGTTTACATTTTCTCCTACATAAAATTATACAGTGTATTCAATTTGTAAATGATCCCTCCGTGAACCAGGGGAACACATTAAATTCGAGGTTAAACTCTGAACTCAAGTGGTTATTTATACGGCCAATGTATTGTAAGAATTATACGCTTCGTTTATCAGCATATTTCGAGTAGCGCACACTATGTGAAAACGTTCGTTGCGATGTTTAAGAATTGATTTGATATAAATTTTTAGGGCTTTTTTATTTGTATTGCTGGGCATTTGTATAAAGTTTCCTACAAAACAATGACAATAACAAAAAACATAAAATAATACCGGGATTAGCCATTGAGCCAGGCAAGGAGTGACGTCACAACAATATTATTTCTGAGGATAAATGATAATCACAAACGTAATCTTAGTCCTAAACCCATTTGGTCCTTGTGGTTGTGTTGTAGGTATGGATGTGGATTTGAGTGCGGAGAATGTGGGTCACAATATAGACGCAAATGACCCCACCCCCAACCACAAACCTACCACACGTTATGGTTTATTTCTATCTCAGATGACCAGAAACGTATCAAAATAAAGTCAGTTTGGAATTTTATCTTAAGCAAACACATCAAGAAATGACGTTTAGTGATTTATCTATATGACCTGACGTCTATCTCAAATGACACCGTTAAAAGGTGATGGTGCGCGATGGGGCGTTTACGCCGACACGCGCCAAGGGTACGATCAGCCGCCGAGCCCCATGGAGTCAATGGACTTAAGATCGTCAGAGATGTAGCCACCAAGACTGACAGTGGAAGCAGGTGTTACAATGCAGTTTCTTCATTCGTTTTTAGGGTTAGTAGTCGTGTTGTCAGGAGATAAAACCAGGCGTCAGACGACAGCGCTATATTTCGATCCATTATTCTAAATAGTGCGATGGATATAAAGAAACTATCGTAAACATAATTGATAACCTATGACCCCTTTGTACTTCCAAACGCATTTACTCTGAATGATGATTCTTCATATCTTTTCAGCATTATGTCACAGGCCTACTTTTACCACGCACACTTTGCCACTCTAGTGACATGTGAGCTTAGAGTTCGGAATGAAGTTCATCTCTGCCATTAATATTAATTGATATCACGCCGGCATTCGTCGTCGGTAAGTCGAACGTCGGCGGAATATCCTCGACGACAAGTCAAATTAAGACTGCGTTTGCCACCACCATGGACTTGACTGTTAACCCATGGAGAATATTCGTTAATTTGACCATGCTTAACCCATGTTACAACAACAAACTCAATTCATGACGATGCATAATGTGACTCTATCGAATATAATGGCCGAGAGGTACTGCGACACAATGTACATTATTGAAAACACAATATGCATACTGTAGTCTATACAGTAGTAGGCCTATTACAAAAAAAAAAAAAGAAAAAAGAAAAAAAAAACCCATCATATTTTATAAGCCCACTGAGAACGCCTATTGTATTTTCGATTTACGATACTAGTCAAAGGATGTTTTACAATATCCCTCCTATGCGTAATGTACGAACTGAATATTAAGTTTAGCTACTCGATACCGTATTTATAATTAATTGAACTTGATGTTGCCCGGATTTTTCAAGCTCAGTGACCGCCAAAACGTCGTGGTCCCACGGTACGCAATGTCGAGCACGTATGATATATTTTAATACGCAGGTTCGGTTGACGATGTATTGTTGTCAAACCAAAGTAAATGTTTCACAAGTAGTCCTTGTGAGTGAACCTTTACTGTATGACAATAGACATCATTATATTGACATCGAAAGCATCAACTAGGTTATACCCTGTCTCTTATACACATCTAGATGTGTATAAGAGACAGGGTTGCTGTTTATCCTTTTATTAGTATGATATATATATATATATATATATATATATATATATATATATATATGTAATAATAAATAATAATAATATACATATATATACATACATATACATATACATATACACACATATACAAATATATACACGTATATATCTGTCTCTTATACACATCTAGATGTGTATAAGAGACAGATTTTTCAGTGGGATTGAGCACTGTTTCACAAAAATGTATATATATATATATATATATATATATATATATATATATATACTGTATATATATACATTTTTGCTGCTTAAATTTTTAATCTCATATTTATCTTGTTTCGCTTTTTTGATGTGTATGCGTTCAACGCTTTCAACCATCTATCTGTTTGTTGTACATTTTATCCGCAAATAAATAAATAAATAAATTGCTTGGGAGATTTTGAGCGAAGCCTGACTTCGCCCACGTACTCGGGGAGTTGGTCCCTCTTCCCCTGCCTTATATATCAGAACCCGCGGTCGGGAAAATCCTGGCGCCACCCCTGGAGTCATACAGTTCCTAAAAAACTGTTGCGTGGTTAGTTCTGTTTGTTAACACAGTTCCTGCCTCTCTGTCGTTCTCTTCTTTTCGACCACTACGACCCAATTTGTTAGATTTTTCCGACAATGTTGGCGGGTACCCATTAGTAGATAAGGGTTAGATTTAAAGGAAAATTTAACTGCGTCAGTTTGCCGTATACAGGACTATTTTATATTATTTTTATTGTTTTATTAAAGAAAGTGTGTGCGTAGGAGATCTCTGTGTCCCTGGTTTCATTTCTGTATTCGGAGCCATTTTAGATTGATTCCTATGTAGGATGCAACATGGCCCTTTTGCCCGTTGACAAGTGGCATGCATTATTATTATTATTCGGAAAAACCCCAAGGAGAATTATTACCCCCACCCGTGAACTACCCACTCAACATCAGTGGCATTGCACCGACTGTGTGTACCACGTGACATTCTGCCGCCGGTCTCACCCCAGTGAACTAGCCCGGTATTCCTTAACGTAGAGCCAACGAGTTTATAGTGAGAGTGTGCAGGACCGTTGCACCATCCCATCGTATACAGCTTGAAGGGGAGGCCTACATGTAGAATGCCTAGGTGTTACAACTTATCTCGCTTATGTGTTTGGATTGCGGTTGATCAATTAATAAGGGTTTGAACTTTTCAGAGCGAAGGCGTGAAAGTTTAAAGTGGCAAGCATGATCCGTCAACACGATAATAGTGTCGACAGACGGTCTTCAATCATCCACCATTAGCAGACGTTCTTCCCAATCACCAACCGATGTAGACAACAAGTATTAGAAAACAACATTCGGACGAAGATGTATTACACATAAGAAACAGTAAAATTTGGCCCAGAGTCCGTGTTCTTATTTTTTTTGCCGAGTTCAGGCTCAAAATGTTCTTACTTTGTTCTTATTTTACACACTTTTCAAACGTAGCAAAATTGTTATTGTACAGCAGCATACTGTATTGGAAGGTTGGTAAAAATGGCCCTGGGAAAATGGGCCCTGAAGAAAGCCCCGGAAAAAATGGCCCCAGAAAAAAGGCCTGGTAAAAATGGTCCCAAATGACAGTACACCTACTGATTAGGGTATTACATAGTCACACTTACTGCAAATAAGGTGCAGATATAATTTTTTGGTTTTTTTATATTTAAAAAAAAAAATCCTCATTTGACATTTTACCTCAATTTGTTCTTATTTTGTTCTTAATTTTTAAGCAATTTCAGCCTCAGTGTTCTTATAAAATGTGTTCTGTGTAAAAAAAAGTGTAGTTAAGTATAGGCTTATGTGTTTACGCCTAAAAAGTAGAAAATACACAAACAATACAACAATTTTTGTATTCGCAACGCGTACCATCCAGAAAATAGATTAGGCCTTGGGCACCTATCCTGGCCAAGGCTATTCCAGCCTTATTTGCTCATAAGTTTGGGTCGGTCGGGCGTGGCCAACACAATTTTTTTTTTGCTTAATGTATAAATTAAATGAATAATAATACTGTGCTCAAATATAAACATTATGTTATAATTCGTATCAAACACAGTTCATCAACAAAAGTTCCTTATATATAGTTGTATGATAAAAAGGTCTCTGGTGGGAATCGAACCCGTAATCTCCAGCTATCTTGGCAAGCATCATTACCTTTAGACCGCCGAGACCCGTAAAATACCATTACAGATGTAAGACCACTAATAGTCTCTATAGCTTGTTGAACAGTTTGTATTAACTCTATATCTGTCTCTTATACACATCTAGATGTGTATAAGAGACAGATACCAGAGAGGTCGTGATGCGACGCCTTCTATTGGTCATAGCCATACAGGGGTGGCACCAGCTGGGTCCTCCCCGGTCGGGGAGAGCTACCCAACCTCCTCCACCCGGTCGGGGAGATAAACACAATTCGTCGGGGAGAAGAAAAAATTATAGGCCCCTACCGGTATGTATTTTTTACATGTTAGTGCCATAATGACATCAGACAAATTCGTAGGACATTAGAGACGACTACGGAATGAAAATAGGCCATCAACTTAACTAGTCTGACTCTCTGTATGCATTGTTTCATAGTTTATTTGTATTATTTTTTTTTTTATTATTATTATTTTTTTATACTTTTATATTCATATTTAATATTATATCTGTTAATTGTTGTCTTGTATTTTATAGTGTTATAGTATTCGAT